TCCAGCTTGGGGGCTCTGGGTCTTTGCATCCCCTTCCTCCAGAAGCCCAGGAGTCTCCGTGGAGTCCTGCATGTTAGCACCTACTAGAGCCACCGTGCAAGCCAAACATGGATGGGAGGAAGGGAGCGGAGACTGTCACCCGGGGCAAGATCCATTTGGACATTGTCCCGAAGAGGCTGCCTTTCCAGGTCCCCCGCCTCTCGATCTTCAGTTTGTGAGGCTGTCAATGGAAACGGGATCCAAGTGTTGCTGATTCAATGATGTTTGCCCAAATGCTGTTTCCTAAGAACTGTTGGATGCCCAAAATGCTTTCTGAGTCTGTTTTCTTTTTCCAACAAGCCCGTTTCTTTTCCTGGAAGTGGGACATGGCATGAAGCCGTGTCTGAACCCAAGTCTATTCCAACTCCTTTCTAAACTTGGATCACATTGCAATGAGAGGCCCTTCCTCCTACCCCCTCCCCGAGGTCCTGGGAGGCTGTGGCTGTTAGTAACACTGACTGTATGCAGCAGTCTTCCTGCTTATGAGCCCAGACATAGCTCCATACATCCGGATTTCATTTCATTCTCAAACCATGTTGGGAGGAAAGATGAGTATCTCCATCGTATAAATGAAGAACTAAGACTAGAAGTCACAAATGGCAGCTTCCACAGCCAGAGCTAGGCTCATAGCCCCTACTCTTTCTAGCATCTCTCTCTCTCTCTCTCTCTCTCTCTCTCTCTCTCTCTGACACACACACACACACACACACACACACACACACACACACACACGCTGGCAATGGAGATGTTTTCAGTACAAAAACAACCCCTTCTAGTGGCGCTGTCCCGGCCCTATCATAGCTCCCGCCTCACCTGGCTGTTTGGACATGACTTTGCTCTCTGGCTTCCCAGTTCTCCCAGAAGAACAGCTTGCTCCAAGAAGCCCCTGGCTTTGTTCCTTTTCCAGTGCCTCTTCAATCCCTTCCCACCATCAGGCAGTCCCTTTTGTCTGGTTGCTCTGATTCGAGATGCTGGCCAGCAAGGACTCATCCTGTTCACTCTTATGCCTGTTCATCTTCTCCATCGTTTTCAGGAGGGTCCCATCAACTTGGAACCTAGACCAGGGAAGGCGTTGCAGTAAGAAGAACAATAGTCATCCCAGCTCACTCACTCACTGGCCAAGTCCTCAAGCCTGTTCTTTATCCCTTCTAAGCCACAGATTTTTTTTCTCAAAGGGTAGGATGATGTCTTCGTCTATCCCAGGGCTCCTGGGGGATCCATGAGTCCTTCTGTGTGGACATACTTGGTGAACTGTAAAACACAAGGCAGACACAAGCTCTTCTGTGCCCACTGCCTCCACCCTAATTCAATCACTATTTCTTTCCACCCAGCATTTCCCAAATGCCCACACGTGACGCCTCCTTCATGGAGCTCACTCAAGTCCTCTCTCCCATCCCCACTCACGAACCAGTTGCATCCCACAGCAACAGATGACAGATTAAAGCCATGGACACATGAATGTCTTGGGTTGACGCTATGTGAAAGGAATGGGAAGCATCAGATTTTGACATCTTTAACCTTTTTTTTGCATAAAAAGTAGATGTGAAGAGTGAAGAGTTGTAGTAACACCCCAGGCCAAGTAGCACATTCAAGACAGCATGGCAGGTGACACCCAGGATGTCAGAGAATGTGACAGCAGCCCTAGGGACGTGAATCGCATAATGCCTCACATCAGTGTTGCCGGCAGAGCCAGGATAACTTGGCAGTGGGCACGGAAACACCGTCTGGGTCAGAAGATTCCAAGAAGAGCTGGTGTGTTATCATTAGCAAAGCAACACACAGATTCAACCAAGGCTGCTAATACCACGTTGCCGTGTCTTCCACCCCCTCTTCCTGCCCTCTAACTGACCTCGGGTTGGTAGCTTTTCTTTCCCTGCCTGTGCAGTGGGGTGTCCCTCTTCCTTTCTACACTGTAAAGCCCCTTGAGGGCAAGAACCAGGTCTTAGATGCCAGAAACGCATCTCCCAGAAGAAGGCACCTAATATCTATTAACTCACTGAAAGCCATAATCTGCTTTTACTCCGTGTCTCAGCCTCTCCATTTGTAAAATGGGAGAATAATTTCAATACCTTCTAAAGGATGGATAAGAAAAAGTTTAGTAGCCATGGAGAATGCTGAAGCCATCTATTAGAACTGCTTTATGTTCATCTTCATTTCCAACTGTGACCTTACTCGGCCATTCTTGCTCAAGTCTTTAGGGTCTGAAGCCACAGAACTAAGTCCCAAGCACTTTAGGGTCTCGAGGGGTCAGGGGCCAGGGTCTCCCTCTTGCTCCGTGGACATGCTGCCTGGGCTGGTGCTTGCTGCTTTCCCGATCACTGCCACCGGACTCTGCTAGGAGAAAATGGTGTAAGGAGAGCTGACTCTCTGAATGATGGTGGCTAGTGCTTCTGAGAAGAGGTTAGAGACCAGACAGTGTACGTTTGTCTTTTATCGGGTAGTTCTTCAAAGGGAAACAATCCGCTCCCTCAGCAGTCCGCATTTCCACCAGCTGCCTTTCTTTTGATGACACTTATCATCTTCTCTTCCCTGAAAACACAGCAGAAGAAAGGAAATTTCTCCTTCCTTCCTCCTTGCCACACAGCTACTACCAAGAGTCCTGTGTCTTCATCTTTGCCATTCCCTCTCCTCCCTCCCACCTGCCTCTTTTCCTCTGGCTACCAGGCAGTCAAGATTGATCTGTTTCTTATGGTTTGAAGTGGAATTTGATCATGTGCATGGAAACAGCCGGGTAGAGCTAACAGCACCATCAGACAGTGAGCACAGCTCCTGACACACCTGCACAGAAGTGAGCACACACGCACACACGCACACGCGTGTGCATGTACACATGTGCGCACATGCACACACGCATGTGCATGTACACACGCACACACACGTACACACATACTTCCCCTTTTCTGAGCCCACACAGGATGTCCTCTCCCAAGTCCCCCTCGGCTGGTCCCACACACTCATCCTCTCCGGGCACAGCCCACCTCGCCACCAGCCTGCCCGCCCCATACTCCACTCCTGGCAGGCAGACAGCCCTCCCCTGCCTCCCTACTCCTCACAAATCCAGGAAGAGCTACACTCCCTTGGATAATGAGTTGAGAACTTACAGCCTCTCGTCTCTCTCTGGCTGGTGACTGACACAAATGGAATTCATCTTTAATCATCTGTTAACTCGTTGTCTATTATAGCTCTTTAATAGCACCATAGATATTCTTAATGAAGCATGATTTAAGGTATTTACAGCACATGGACCGACAGACATCACTCACAGTGTGCAGGTAATGAGGCATAAAACGGCTTTTGAATTCCCCCCAAAAGCGAAAGCGACAGAGAGAGAGAGAGAGAGCTTTAACGCTAGGGCAAAAGAAAAAAAAATTAAAAGCCTTGTGTTGTAAGGTTTGTTTTAAAATGTTTAGGCATTTAAAGTCATTTCAGCTCTTTCGAGGTGTTTGGCTCATAGAGTTCAGCGATTACCCCCACTGAGAGTGTCAGGCTCAGGTTCTAAGCGTTCTCTTGAAGCCAACTGAGGTCCAGGAGTCTCTTCTAGAGCATTTTGGGGGCTGGGGCCAAGCAGTGTTGTTCAAGGGGGCATACAGAACTCAGACCATCCTCAGCTTCCTTCGCTCACCCAATCTACCCTGATGCTATTCCTAGGGATGACAATCATCTTTGCAGGGAAGGGGACAGGGGCTGGGGATTGTCCTCCCACCGAAGGGACCTGCTGCCTAGGGCGGGTTCGTGCCTCTCTCTTGCCTCATGAAACCCAGGCCACTTTAGCCTTCAAAGTAAAGCCTCTGAGAAGCAGAGGGGACCTAGCCTGTCATCTTACCGAGGAGGAGACCCGAAGTTACCCAGCTAGTTAGGGACAAACCCAGAACCACTGCCAGGGTCTCCCATCCCCACCCCATGATGGTGTTGTGAATTTCCAACTAGACAGGCTTCATAAAACCTCCAACAAAATGGAGGTTTCAAGGGGATAGAGAAAAAGATGGAGGTAGAGTAGGAGACTGTTTTCCAAGGATATGCTTTAAATGTAGAGATCTCCAAAGCAGAAGTGGCATCTTAAAGGGTTGCATGCCAGGGTAGTACAGGAGAGGATGGCAGATCTGAATGCCAGCTCTGACCCTGCTGCCCCAGGGCCCCTGACCTTTGAACAGGACTTGCTCACATTCTCCCACTTCCTTTCTCTGCCTCAGAGGAATGAGCCCAACCAGCCCACCTTCCCCATAGTAAAGTAATAACGTGAAGAAAAAGGACTTGGTGCAGGGTGTGGATCGGATAAGCACATCATCCACAGTGATGGAAATGATGGCATCTTTCTCTTGAAGTCCAATTTACCAGGATCCTCTTTTTTTCTTTTTAAAGATTTTTTTGTAGAGGTGTAGGCTCCCTGGCTTGCTCAGGCTGGTCTTGAGCTCCTGGACTCAAGCAGTCCTCCCACCTTGGCCTATCAAAGTGCTGGGATCAGAAGCATGAGCCATCATGCCCTGCCAGGACCCTCTTTGTTATGTCACTTTTACCACCCTCCGTTGTCCCTACGCAGGCAATCTCTACTTGGCCCAAAACTAAGCACTGCATGTTTTTGGTGACATTTGTGTTGAGTCCCCTTTCTGCAACTCACCAGTGTGTGTGGCCACTGTAAGGCCGTGATAGATGTGGGCAGGGAACTGGAGACCCTAGGCCCCGTGGGTTCGCCCTCATGAGGGAGCAGAGTTGAGATGCTTTGGGGATCAGTGACACAACCTCCTACCTGGCTTGGGGTACAAACCTAGGCTCCCTGTCCCCCTGACCTTGTCCTCTCCGAGAGAAGGAGAACTGTGAGCATGGCAGTGGACACTCCAGTTACCACAGGCTCAGCAGCCAAGTGAGAAGGCGGGTTAGGGTGGGGAGGGGGAACCTGTTGAGATTTCTCATAATGGGGTGATGAGGATCCCGTGATGGCTCGACAAAGGCCACCAGATTCTCTCCCAATGCAGGGCTTAGTGCCTTTAAAAGCAGGCGCCTCCACCAGGAGCGGTGGCTCACACCTGTAATCCCAGCACTTTGGGAGGCTGAGGCAGGTGGATCATGAGGTCAGGAGTTCAAGACCAGCCTGACCAACATGGCGAAACCCCATCTCTACTAAAAATATGAAACTAGCTGGGCGTGGTGGCGGGCACCTGTAATCCCAGCTACTCAGGAGGCTGAGGCAGGAGAATTGCTTAAACCTGGGAGGCAGAGATTGTGGTGAGCCGAGATCATGCCGTTGCACTCCAGCCTGGGCAATAGGAGTGAAAAGCTCCATCTCAAAAAAAAAAAAGCAGGAGCTCCTACTTGGAAGAGCTGCAATTCCCCTTTTGCACTCAGAAGAAGGTGGCACAGGGAGGGGAAGGGGCCAGTCCTGGTCACACAGGACCAGAACTCTGGAACCCAGAACTCCTCAGGCTGTTGCTTCTCCCAAGCTCCCTCCCCGTGTGCAGCCTCCTCTTATGTCTGCGAGAGGCCAGTGACCATGGGAGGGAGCCAGATGCCCTACTCCATGCACACGGTGAATGTGGGTGTCATTCTGAGGACACAGACAGGAGGAGGAATCTGCCAGCACCAGCCCAAAGGTGGAGGCCTGCATAGGAGAAGGGCATTTCTCCTGGCATCTCTAGCCTTTTTAGATGCACCCCAACTTAGAGGCTGTCACAGCCTCTGCCAGCCAAGCTATCCCTAGGCGGGCCCAACCCTAGCAAGTAGGAATACAGGAGCAGAAGCCTGTCCTTCCAGGGCCTGGCTGACCACGCTAGTCATTTCACGCATTCATTCTGTGCCAGGCCAGGCCCGTGCTAGGTCCTGAGGGGAGCTGAGCAGCATGCCCAGCTAAGCCTGCGGTCTGGTCAGAGGACAGATTTCTAAACCAGTAATGCCTGACTGGCTTAAGGAGGTGGGAGGCGCCTTATGGGGCATGAGGGCAGAGTGGCTGTGGGTGGAATGAATACCTGTGATATTTAGAATGGATTTCTCAGCCTGAAGGATGACAGAGCATTTCCCCAGCAGGCCAAGGAAATAGATGTAGAGCTGATGAGCCTCCCAAAATACGTGGACTTGTGGAATGACAAGATCAGAGGAGGCCCTGAAGCTTCCCTTCCAACATCTCCACCATGTGCTGCTGGGTTATTTTATTATTTATTTTTTGAGACAGTGTCTCTCTGTGTTGCCCAAGCTAGAGTGTCATGGTACACCCATGGCTCACTGCAACCTTCCAGCCTCAAGCCATCCTTCCACCTCAGCCTCCTGAGTAGCTAGGACTGTAGGCACACACCATCACATCCAGCTTGCTTGCTTGCTTGCTTGCTTCCTTCCTTCCTTCCTTCCTTTCTTCTTTCTTCCCTTCCTCTTTCTTTCTTTCTTTCCTTCTTTCTTTCTTTTCTTTTCAGATCCAGTCTTGGTATGTTGTCAGGGCTGGTCTCAAACTCCCAGGCTCAAGTGATCCTCCTGCCTTGGTCTACCAAAGTGTTGGGATTACAGGCATGAGCCACTGCGTCTGGTCTGATGATGGATTTACATTCCTCCTCAACCCCACCCTCACTCCCAAGCAGCCAGTTTCAGGGCTGCTCAGTGCTGACTCTTGGGAAAATTTCCTTCATCCGTCGAGGACTATAAGGCTGACATAGGGGATGTGTGAGGACCACATAGGGAATGGAGAGCCGGCAGGCCTCAGGGGGTCGGGGGAACTAAACCCCTTCTACGTGCTGCTCTTCCTCTTGCGTGCTGGGCAGATTGGCTCCTGGTAGGCCCTGCCTGCAGGGGGCTTTAGTTTGCCATGACCCTGACTTCTCCCAACCCCTGCTAATGGGGCCTGGTTCCTAGGGCTGAGAGTGGCCTGGCTTTTCTTGTGCCAGGGCAAACACTGGCTGGCTTATGAGTTGGCTGCCCCAGGCCAAGTGCCCCCCATGGTCCAGTCAACTAAAGATACCCCAAAAGAACATGGTGCTTTTCTTGTCTTAAAAAATTTTTTTTCTTCTTTTTTTAAGATGGGGTCTTGCCATCTTGCCTAGGCTAGTCTGTAACTCCTTGGGCCCAAGCAATCCTCCTGCCTCGACCTCCCAAAGTGCTAAGATTACAGCTTTGAGCAGGGAGAGAAGTCAGAGACAGATCCCAGATACACTGGCTTCTGGCTCGGGGAGAAGCAGCAGCCCCACCAGTGGGCCAGGATGCACCCCTGAAGCCCTTGGCTAGGAAGGAGTTGTCTCTCCTGAACTCCTGGAGGCAGTGTATCCCCAACAGCACCAATTTTCTGAACAGAAAAAAGAGACAGGAAGGATAACACAATGAAGTGAAAGGCAAGAAAATCGCAGGGGACGCTTTATTGAGATACTTGAAATTTTCTAACCAGGTGCAGCCTTGCAATCCGGGACTTCCTTTAGTACGGTCTCATCCTCATTTATAGCAACTTCTTTCTCTGTCAGCTGGAAAGTGCTGGTTTATAGAGGCATGAGCATCTTTGGAGAATTTCTGGGGCCCCATCTTGGTGTTTCTTCTGTAATTATTTCTGTGACAATGTGAACACTCCAGTTAATTACTTCAGTAGTGATTTTTCCCCCTTTTCCAACCAAATCGGTGCCTTTGTGCTTCCTAAGGAGGATTTGAGTTGACTTGCTCTGAAGACAGAAAAGGCGAGACCCCTTTTCTGTGAAGCGCTTGTTAGAAAAGCCACTTCAGAGCCGTTACAGGAGCAGTAAGAGGAGTGGAGGGTCACCGCCTGGCCCCGGGCTCCTGTGAGTGTCTTTGTTTTCCCTCTGTCATCGTCTTCACCCTTGATCCAGAATGCAGGCCCCTCAAGCTCCCCAGATAACCCAGGAGTGGCCCTTGTCATAAGCTTAAGTCATTACTTAAGAATATTTCTGAAAACACACGTGTCTGGGGCAAGGCTGCCATTCAACTTCCAAACATCCACTCAAGACTAGGCCCAATAAGGCTAATTTCTTTTTCTCTTTTCTAGATGATATTGGAATTTCCTAGATGATTCCATTCATGGGTTGGCCATGCAGCAGGTTGTCCAGCACCATCAAGCGCACCCCAGGTTCTCCCGGGCCTGGTTTCCCTTGGTTGATTCCCTGACATTAGGAAATGTTTTTAGGAAAGCCTGTGTGCGACATGTAGATGGAGCCACCCGTCTCCTAGGAAACTGTTCATTCTATACATGTCGCACTTCGTGCTATCATTTGGATCCGGCTGCCTCGACTGGCCTTCTTCCTTGGCCCTCCTCTGGCCCCTCCACTATTAGATCAACTGAGTAGTTCCTAACCAGACCTGCAACATAATTTGTGGAGCCCAGCACAAAATAAAAATGCAGGTCCTGACCAGGTGTGGTGACTTATGCCTCTAATCCCAGCAGTTTGGGAGGCCGAGGCAGGTGGATCACCTGAAGTCAGGAGTTTGAGTCCAGCCTGGCTAACATGGTGAAAGCCTGTCTCCACTAAAAATACAAAAATGAGCCAGGTGTCATGGCATGCACCTGTAGTCCCAGCTACTCAGGAGGCTGAGGCACGAGAATCACTTGAACTCGGGAGGTAGAGGTTGCAGTGAGCCAAGACGGTGCCACTGCACTCCAGCCCAGGCAACAGAGCGAGACTCCATCTCAAAAAATAAAAATAAAAATGCAGGGCCTGTAGTTCAAAAAGTATCAAGAATTTCAAGATGGCAACAACAGAGCATTAAACCAAGCAGCTTCCCCTCTAAGTGCAGGCCTGCACAGCTGCGGCAACTGCACGCACAAGAAGCCAGCCCTGCGTCTCGTCGCGGTAGGAACGGCCCTGCACCACCTTCCAATGGCTGTGCAGGCCTGTTGGGATCCTGGTCCGATGACTGAGTCATGCCCCTTCCATTTCATCACAAGAGCGTTCCAAAACCTCCCGGATTTTAACCTCAGGTTTTTAAAGTTCTCCTTGATGACATGGCTCATATGTTTGTAGGGACCAGGAATGACTTTTTGTAAGCCATATTCACTCTACTCAGAATGTGCACATAATGTTTCCTACCTCCTTCAGCCCCACAAGAGCATTAGAATTGGCACCCTGGGTCCAAATGAACCATTTTCCATTCAGCTGGGAATGCTGCCTCTGGCCACCATGCCCAGACTTAATGACCACAGTTCTCCTCTCTGCTCTCAGTCCTGAGGGATCCCTTCCTAAAAGTCACGATCTACCCCGAGAATCCATTGTGAGTCGATCACCCGCCGGTTTCTCCAAACGTTTTAAAGAGCAGTTTGTATTTTCAACCTGTCTCACCTCTCGGGGGATAATGAATTAGATGAGCTGACTACCCACTGTGTAAGCTAGCAGTTCCTTTTATCTGTACTAACTGCTTCCTTTTCAAGTGTCAAGAGTTTGCTCTAGTTCTGCCTTCCAGGGTTTGATAACCAAGACTGTGTTTGAACATCTGTACTTGTAGTAACTTGAAATACTTTGATCGTACCTCGTCTCCTTCTTCTGTCCTTATTTGGCCTCTCCCTCTCTCCCTCCTGTTCTTATATTTGGCCATTTGAGTGGCCAAATTTCTGCAGCAGTGGAAACTGAAGACAACTCCCCTTGGCAGGCCGATGATGGTTCTCTGCAAAGGCAGTGCACCAATACGTGCATGTTTCTTTCCCAGTGAAGCCTGAGCTTTCTCTGTCTTTTCAGGTCTCAGTGGCCCTTTGGGCTGGTGTCTTTAGGGAGCAGTCTGTAGCCATTCTTATCCTTTTCCGAGTTGTCCTCCCAGAACTACATGTAGGGCTCATTCTGGCACAGACCTGCCAAGTTTCTCTGTTCTCACATAGCCTCTTGGTGTCAGCCTGGATTCATCTCCACCAGGTGGCATTTCCACCTGCAGAGGGACTCCCGATCCTCTGATTACCTAGGGGCCTCTGCACACTTCCTCTTCCTTAAGGGTGTGGAATAAATAAGTCTAGAGTTGAACCCAAAAAAATGCAACCCAGAAGTGAATAGAGAAAGGGCCCCTTTGGTGTTTTGTCAGTTGCTGTCTCTAAGCTGTTCCCCATCAGTAAAAAAATATTTGGCACTGAAGATTCTTAACTTTGAAAATAACCTTGTCAAAAACTTTTGAAAAACTGAATACAATTGCCTTTCCCACTAAGTTATTAACCCCCTAAAGAACTCTTGACAGATGAAGGAGGAAAGGATCCTACTTTACAGAAACCCTGCTTCCACCCCCTCAAAGGGCCACAGAGGAGTGTGGCTAGGAGCCCCAGCTTCCCAGTCAGACAGAGCTGGGTTCGATTTTTGCCTTCGCTACTTACTCATCATGTGCCCTTGGGCAAGCTACTCAATCTCCTCTCTTAGCCTCAGTTTTCTCTTCTTTAAAATGGAGGTGATAGCATTGAGCTGGTACGTTGCCTGCAGAATTAAATGAGTCAAGGGATATGAGGGGTTTGTCATGTAGTAGAAAAGGGCTTGACTCATGGTTGCTCTTATTTCCTTGATAATCTTTTATTGCCGATTATATCTATTTATACATCCAGGGTTTGCTTTTTATGGAAAAGGCATTTACCGGGTAGTAAACTCCTTGGCAATTAGTACCATCCATTATATGTTTCCTGTATTTCATTCGTGTACTCAGCATGCACATTCATGGTTTGTCTCGTGTGTATTAGGTACTGGGCCAAAGTACTCAGCAGAGGACACTGAGAGGCAGCCACCAGTCCCTGGCGGAGATCCCATGGTGGTGATGGCAGCAAACACACCAAAAGCTTACATGTTGTAACTAGCCTTTAACGCAGACATTCTCTCAGGCAACTGATTCACATTTTTCCTCATTCTTCCAACTAAGTCTTTGGCCCGGGGAGACCATGTGGATGTTCCCAAGGTAACCTTGAAAATTTGTCAACAGTCAGGAATTACTCGAAATTCTCCCCCTTCCAATTCCCTGGTTAAAGAACCAGGGCTAGGCGTGGTGGTCTATGTCTGTAATCCCAGCACTTTGGAAGGTCGAGGCAGGAGGACTGCTTGGGCCCAAGGAGTTACAGACTAGCCTAGGCAAGATGGCAAGAGTCCATCTTAAAAAAAGAAGAAAAAAAAATTTTTTACGACAAGGAAAGGACCATGTTCTTTTGGGGCACCCTGGCCAGCAGGGCCATGTTTTCATCCATACCTGTGCATTTAAAAAATTCTTTGTTAAAGGCCCACCAGTCCCCATTGAACCTGGTTTCAAGGAAGATCTAGGCCATGCCGATCCATTTAGAGCGTAATTTGAAGTGAAAAAGACAGGCAAAGTCTGTCCGATACCTGAACAATGTTTTACACTGCGATCATGGTTAGATGTAATTCATCTGATTCTCTGAGCCTTTCTGGAATTTTATCAAATCTTCTGAGGGGTATGGAGAATAGTATAGTGTCCCACACACAGAAAAAAATTTCCCCAACAAATGTCTTATTTACAGCAGACCGGTCACATTCTGTGGATTTCTTTTCAATGAAAACACTTCCTTGAAATTGGAAGAAGACTTAGAAATCTCATGGCTGTCTTCCCTTAATTCGTCTCTTTCTTTCCCCAACAAGTTCCCTCCTCAAAAGCTCAACATTGCCTCCCTCCCCAGCCCTTCCAGTTGGGGTTTGGGTGAGGGGCTAAGAACACCGTTTTCAGCCCCACGGGATGAGACGGGCCCCTCACACGGAAGAGCTGGCGGTGGGAGGGAAGGAACCAGCACAAATCATGAGGGTCTGTCAGGTTTGTGGTTCTCACAGTTTGCCTTGTTTCACACCCTATGGGAAGACAGAAACCCACACACACTAGGCTCAGAAACCAGAGGCTTCAACCCTGCACGCATTTGTTTTGTGTCGCTAGCAGCTATTGTATTTCACACACCACGCCTTCATCATCCCTTGTCGTCCTTGTGCCAGAAGAACCCTCACTATGTTGTAGAAACCTGTTCATTCTCCTAACAGGCCTTCAAGGAAGCGGGGTGTTGAGATGACCCCCGCCCCTGTTGCAGGTGGAGAATCAGAGGCCCAGATAGGACGAGTCATTTAGTTCCAACCTCTGCCTCCCCACCAGCCCTTCCAGATGCACCAGTCTTTCCACCAGACCTTGAGCCCATCCAGCTCCTGAGCAGGGCACTGCCAGGCCACCCCCAAAGCCCCTGCCTCTTCCCGAGAGCCCCACCCCTCCCAGCTGGGTAGCCCACCCAAGGGTCCACACGCCTCAACTGGGGCCGACTCCCAAGACGGCCAACACCACGTCCTAAAGACTGAGCCACCAGCCCAGCCTCTCACCCCCATCTATCTGGGCTTGGTCATCCCGAACAAGTGTGAAAAACGCCACCTTTGCAGGCCGGAATCTGAAAGAAATTGGAAACCTGCTGCTAGCTCCATCCCCACTCTCTTCTCGTGTTTGCTGTTATTTTTTAACACTTTTTTTTTTCTCATAAAAGCACTATCCTCTTCCCCAGAGCTTGCCTGTAGCGAAGGCATGGTCTGTACAACTGCAATTATTTCAGAGAACAGATGGAGTGAGGAGCAGAAAGTCTGTTAATAGTAATAGAAATGCTACATGTTAACCTGGACAGCACATGATGACAGTCCCATGACTACCCGTTCTGTTCCCACCAGCTGGGTAACCAAAGTAGGAATGAGATATTCACAAACACAGCCATCAGCCACGTAGCCACCTAAAGTTAGAACTCAAATTCCTTCACACTAGGGGCCCTGGCGACTGTGGCGGCTTAGGCCAAGAGCAGAGGAGGCTGAGCTACAGCCTGGCGCCAGGGCTGGCGGCATCACCCGGCTCTGGGTCCACCACCAAGGCTTCCCAGGTCAGCCAAGGCCCAGGCCTAGCTTTTAGGCAAACGCTGAACTCGCCGGCCCTAGCCACTAGCCAACCCCGCCACTGCTTTCTATGGATGCTCGTGAGGAGGAGCGTTAAGTTTGCTGAGCTGCTCTTGACTTCCTAGAAGGCAGTGTCATGTGTAAGGGAGTAAGTGAAGGGCCAGAGGCTTCGGATCTCCCAAGCCAAGGTTCAGGCTCCTTAGCAGGCAACACAGTGTCAGGACCAGCAGCCCAACAGGCTTGTCCAGTCCTGCACCAGAAATTTCTTTCCCTTTCTAGAACACTTAAAAAAAAAAAAAAAAAAGCATGATCCTAACAGAGAAAATGGATACAATTCATTTCAACAAATATGTGCAAGAAAATATGCTAGGCACTCCAAGAGCAACAAAGAAATAATAGTCCCAAGAATATAACATTCTAAGGCCAGGCAGGTGGATCACACCTATTACCCCGTACTTTGGGAGGCCAAGGTGAGAAGCTCGTTGGAGCCCAGGAGTTTGAGACCAGCATGGACAACACAGGGAGAAACTGTCTCTACAAAAATAAAAATAAAAAAATTAGCCAGGTGTGGTGGTGTGCACCTATAGCTCCGGCTACTCGGGGTTGAGGTGGGAAGATCGCTTGAGCCCAGGAGATTGAGGTTGCAGTGAGCTAAGATCACACCACTGCACTCCAGCCTGGGCCCTGGGAGACCGAGCAAGACCCTGCCCCCCCCCACCAAAAAAAAGAATATAATAATCTAATAAGAGAGGCCAAAAGAAGCCCACACAGAACCAAATACGTAGCAAAATATGGGAAATGCCCCAACAAAGGAACAAGCGAAATGCTATTAGGGTTCAAAGAATGAGGATGTCTCCTCTGGTCCAAGGGGCTTCAAAGACATATTCGTAGATGAGATGAGGCTTGAGGAAGGAGGATTGTCTAAAGGCACAGAGGTGGGGAAGCAAGAGTCATATTGGAGATCAGAAGCATCCTCCATCTGCGTGGGCACATGTGTGGGTATGCCGGGGTCCCCTGGGCAGGCTGACTGACAGCTAGAGGTGCAGGGCCACAGATGGTAGGTTATAAAGTTCATATTTAAGTCCTAAGTCTGTAACGAGCTGTTCTTTAGAAAGATTATCGGGTAGCAAGGAGCTCGCAAGTGCCAGTTCTATATATCTTTCCAACTCTGCATCCACTGACCTTACATTGGTAGCTTGGACAGACCACGTGTGAATATCACCCATGGAAATGAACAAGCACTACAAGTCAGGGCCTGATTTTTCTTCTTCTTTTTTTTTTTTTTCCAGCGAGTCAGTTTACTAAAACACCACTAGCTTACTCCAATGGTAAGCAAGCATCCGGTGAGTAGGAAGGGAGCTTTTGAGGTTAGAAGGCCAGTTAGCATGCTATTGAAATAGAGGCAAGGGCTAGCACAGACCTCACTCAGGGGTGTCAGGAAGGACGGGAAAAGGTGAGGATGGATTCCAGAGAGACTGTGAACTCAGACAGCGATAAAAATTGGGCATGACTTTAAGAGGGAAGAGTCAAAAGATGATTCATACTTCGAATTTGACAAAATGGTAGTGCCATTCATAGAAATAGGCTAAGTCAGAGGAGGAACCAGTTAGGATGATGGATATGAATGCAGCTTGGGAGATAGAGATATTTGTCTGATTGCTAATTTCTTAAAGAAATGATGCACATCCTTTGTTGCTTAGGAGCTCGTTTTTTCTTTCTTTCTTTTCCACCCATTTCCTCTTCTCTCTCCCTTTCATGCAGTATGGATAATATCTTAATTCATCGTTTGACATGTAGTGATTTCTGCTGCCTGCTTGGCTGCAGATGAAGCTTTGAAATTTACATACGTTTCTCAGCTTTATTAAGACAAAAAAAAAAAAAAGTTGCAGTGGCCCAGGGGACAGAGCACAGGCTTTGAGGAGGGGACAGAGTACAGTGAGGATTTGAACTCACCACCCAGCTGGCCCACACCCCTTGGCACACAGCCAGAGCCATGTGAGGCAGGCGAGAGCATTGCTTCCCCAGCCATCTTGAGTGGGCAGATGCTCTAGAGGGACTGTCTTCCCCAGAGGACTGGGCAGCTCAGTGGCAGAAGGCACTTGATTCGGAGATGCTGGAACATGCTGCCAACAAGTACGTGTTTGTAGTATGGATATTGTAAATTGCACAAGTGTCCAGAGACCTAGGTGTGCAGGAATTTGCAACACACAAACAAATACCATATTGTTGTGAGTAGAAGTGAGCTCCAAATCTGTCCCTCTACCCTCTGAGCAGGGGTAAGAGAGTGGAATGTGGAGACGAGGGATACGATTTTGAATCCCGGAGAAGCCATTCACTTGTCTTGCCTTTGTTGATCACTTCACATATGCCAGGCATTATTCTGAGCCATGTATCAATCCACTGAATATGCGTGCAGCCTAAGAGAAAGGCACTGTGATTACCATCTCCATCTTATCCATAATGAACCTGAGGCCCAGAGAGTTGAGGCAACTTGCCCAAGGCTGCACAGCAACGGAGTAAGATTCACGTCTAAAGTACACTGCCTCAGGTGGACACCCTGATCCCTCTGAGCCTCGATTTTTCCATTTATAGACTCAGAGTCATAATGTCTGTTTAGCTGACTTTCCCTGCAGGGGCCCCTTTTCCTGAGCTTCACACTGTTGTGTTTACACGTGTGTCTCCCTCGGTAGCTGTGACCCACTCGAGGCAGGACATAGGATGGAGCCCCAGGGAGCTGAACTAGTGAAGAAACTGGGGCCTTTTGCCTGAAGAGCAGTTCATTGAGGGCCGTGACAACTGCCTTTGAATATCAAGGGGCTGCCGTGCACAGGCGGGACAGGGCTTGTTCTAATGTCATTCCTGAAGAGACAGTGAGTTTGAAGAAGGCATTTTGGGGCTCCAAGGGACATCACGCTTTCTAACAACCTGAGCTGTGCCAGGATGAGCAGCATTCCCAGGATAGTGGGGGACCCATTGCTGGGAAGCTGTGCAAGATGCTGGTTGGTTCTCGCCAGGTTTACCATAAAGGCAACATGACCCCTATTCCTTCCAGTGTTCCAGGATTCTGTAATAGTCCCATTCCCAGGTGAGCTTAGTCCCGGCTTAGGGGACCAGAGGGCTGCCTGTGAGATGCTGTCTCCATGTACACCAGTGTTCCCAGGCCACTTGTTTCTAGGCCTAACAGAGATGCCGGGGAGTTCAGTCTCTGGCTCCAGACAGCTGGAGACGGACCATTTGGAGGAGGTCTTCCGGCTGTCAAGGCCACTGCTACCCCTGAGACCTGTGGAGACAAATGCTGATGCCATTTGTTCACAGTAACAAAACCTGACCCACAAACATTGCTGCACAGTCTTAAAAATACTTCCATGCTCAGCCAGGCACAGTGGCTCACACCTGTAATCTCAGCACTGTGGGAAGCCGAGGCGGGCAGTTTATGAGGTCCAGAGATGGAGACCATCCTGGCCAACATGGTGAAACCCTGTCTTTACTAAAAATACAAAAATTAGCAGGACGTGGTGGTGCACACCTATAGTCCCAGCTACTTGGGAGGCTGAGGCAGAAGAATCACTTGAACCTGGGAGACGGAGGTTGATCACTTGAACCCGGGAGACGGAGGTTGCAGTGAGCTGAGATCGTGCCACTGCACTCTGGCAACAGAGCGAGACTCTGTCTCAAAAAAAAAAAAAAACTTCCACGCTTTTAACTCATTTTATTTTTAGAATAACCCTGCTGTGTGAGACAGGTATTATTGCCATTTTGCAGATCAGTAAACTACACCTTGGTGAGAGTCAATACCTCCCTAAGTCACAGCCTGCATGTAGAACAACGGGGGCTGGAATCCCTGTCCCCAGCATTTACTGACCTCCTCGCATAACCTCTTCACAACAGCTAGGTTGTCGTTCTGAAGACCTGCCTCTGGCACCCACTTGTCAGAAGTGACCTAAGTGTTAACAGGAATGTGTTTGGGTACAAGGGAGAAAAATCCCTATCATAGGAGGCTGAGGGCTTGTTTGTTTCATGCAACAAGAAGTCTAGGGGCTGAATCCTGAGCTGATTCAGCCTCAAGGGCTGGGCTCTTTCCATCTTTTTGCTTAATCATCATTAGCACACAGGCCTTCAACCACGCACTTGTCCCCTCTCAGTCACAGGATAGCTGCAACATACCAACATCACATTGACATTCCAGGCAGGGAGAAGGAAATGGGTGAAGGGACAAATGACACCAAGGATTTTCTTCTCCAAGTGAGACTTTGCCTTTTATTCAGGAAAAGACCCCTCCCTAGGGATTTTCTGCTACATCTTCTGGGCCAGAGTACGGCTGCCTCTCAGTGCCATAGAGGCTGGAAAATCCAGTGTTTTAGCTTCCCAGCCTCTAGAATAGAGGCAAGCAAGGGAGGAGGGCCCCGATCTACAGCAACTACACTATACCTCTTTCTGAATGTGTCAGAGCATACCGTGAGCCCCAGCTCCCGGGTGGAGGTGCCTCTGTCCACACAGCCCAGGATGTCTTTGTCTACAGCTATGGAAAAGAAGGCTGGCTGCTGGACATGAGCCTGAAATTCGAACCCATCCTTGGGGATGAAAGGCTTTCAGCTTCAGGGGCAGCACCCGGCTTGCATCCTGGCGAGCCCATCAGCCCTGGCGAGGAGCAGCTGTTACACTCAACCTCCCCCAGGAAGAAGGCTCTTAACTAGATTTCCCATACAGAACTTGGTGGGGGAGGCTCAAACACAACCAGCCCACTATGGGCTAAATTTGTATGGCAACCAACATCATCACGAATAGTGGGAGCGCAGGGCAACTTGTGTTTGTGACTTCAGCTTCTCAATTGGGTGCTCCAGCCCCTTCCTCTCCAGGACCCAGGATACAAGGGTCCCCAGCCGAGGTCAGGGGAAGACTGCCCTCTTTATGAAGAAGGCAGTGGTCTTCTAACGAACTGATCTGAGCTCACTGATGAGGAGGGGAGAAATCTGGGTTGTTGTCAGTGATAGATCTGGCCATGGACTTTGGGGAATTCCACTTTAGGGTTGTCATTCTTGCCCTTAACGCTACATTAGATCAACTGGAAATCTTATAAGTCAGCAGCAACACCTGGACCCCATTCCACACTCCTTCAATCAGTCAAAGCCTCCACCCAGTGGGGCCCCCCCTTGGTAGCTTGAAGAGTTCCCCTGGTGATTCTCATGTTCCGGCAGGGGTAAGACCACTGCCTTGGAGAAAATGGCGCTCCGCTCATCATGGCCGTGAACCTTAACCTAGCCAGGTCAGCTCAGTCTCCCATCC